CTAATGGTCATTATACAGTTGTAATTGATTGGACCCACGATCGTTCCTCTAAGTATAATTTGTTCCATTCTGTGCTTATGTATATGTTAGACCAGAGGTCGTTCTGTTATGTTTTGGACCCCAGGTTGTTTCGCTATGACTGGAATTTAGGTATGAGATTAATTACGTTATGTATTAAAACTTATTCATATAACCTCTTTAGTCTGATGTTATTCATTGGGTTTTAGCTCACTCCATTATATATATGTATGTAGGTGAGAAGCCAGATGCCCAGCCTTAGAGGAGTCTGAAGTTATCGAGTTTTGTGAAGTTAACCCTAAAGCGCCTCTTGGATGAGGCTTTGTTCCTTTTGTTTTTGTCGATTATGTTTGACCATGTTTTGTGCTTTAACCCTTAAGTGTTGTAAGATAATGTTTTGTACTTGTGTGGAATGATTTATGGATATGTGTAATATATATATATATATATATATATATATATGATCAGATGTGAGTTGTTAACATATAAAATGTTTTTGTTCATGCCACTTATGCATAAGCTCATTAGACAAATTTTATTATTCTACTTTTGCTTCTGGCCCCATATATTTAAATATAATTTGAATTCTGTTTGAGACCATAGGTAATCTTATAATTATTGGCCGGCTATGATTCAAACCTCTAGGGGTGAGCTCGGGTCATGACAAATCCAGTTTCGGCGAAGTTAACGAATCATAACCAATCACCAAATCGTCGCTATAGTGGTCGAGCTCGCGGGTGAGTTGGAAGATTTGGGCGATACAGAGGGCCAGGGCTTAAACTCTGCGGCCTCCACGGCTAGTTAATTTGGAAAGAGAAGAGAGAGAGAGAGAGAGAGAGAGAGAGAGGTTTGTTCCTCCACCTACCCCATTTCAAGAGCATGTAAAAACTTTCTCTCTCTCTCTCTCTCTTCCGTTATTGAAATTTGTATATCGATGAACACCTTATTTTGTTCGTGGAAACCCTACTTTCCTTTTTTTTTTTTTTTTTTTTTTTTTTTTTTTTGCTCCTGGTGATGAATGCTTTAGATTTACAGTGGGACTGGTAATGCTTTTTAGAGCAGAAAATGGAAACGATCGTTGCATCTAGCGACACTACCTTAGTTGTGTGTCTACCTCAAGATGGAATTGCAGTAACTGATGATGAAGTTCTCAACAATTTTTGCTTTCATTCTTTGCGATCACCTTGCCATGTGATTCCTTCCTCTTTTTTATTAGTTATTTGTTTGTCTCATTTGTATGCTTCTACTCGTATATATTCCTACTCTGATCCACCTCTTCCTCTGTGAACATTTGGCAAATCTTCTTCCTATAAATTTATATACATTCCCATTATGTATATTAATTATTGCTTTCACAGATAGAGTGATTTTATTTTTTAAAAATTCTATTACTGTTGTCACATGAAAATTCAATAGATCAAGAAAAGAGAAAAGAGTAATATGTAGAGGTGTAAAATAGGCCTACCGGCCTGCAGTCCAGCCCGCTTAGGCCTGAGCTCGAGCCTAGCCTATGACCCTAGGCCAGGGCCATGTGCTTGAGGGCCTAGCCTGGCTCACCACCCCGCTTCCAGGTCCAGTCCGCCCGAGGCTCAATATCATTTTCAAATTATTTTGGTGAGGAAAAAAAAAATTTGCTGATTTTTTATTTTTTTTAAATAAAAATATAGTTGGGCTTGCCCTAAGCCTGAGCCCAAGCCTAGGCCTAACTACTTAGCCAGAGCTCGATCCGTGGCCCGATTTTGAATGGGTTTCGGCCTGGGTCGACTCGAAATTGACAAGAGCCCGTGAGGACTGACTATGGATCGACCCTAGCCTGGGCCCGGGCAGGCCAGGCCGAATTTATACCTCTAATAAGGATGTAAAATTGGACCATCGGCCCGCGACCTACACGTAGCCCAAGCCCGAGCTGAGCCCATCCTATAACCCTAGCCTTAGGCTATGTGTTTTGGGGCTCAGCCCGCTCAAAGCCCACTCCAAGGTCCGCCCGAGGCCTAATATCATTTTCAAGCTATTTTTGTGAAAATAAAATAAAATAAAATAATTAGACTCGGCCCAAGCCTAAGCCTAGGCCCGGTGACATGGCCCGATTTTGGGTGGACTTGGGCCTGAGCCTAGGCTGAGATTTTTCCAAGTGGCCCGGCCTGAAAATTGGAGGGAGCCCGCAAAGCCCAACAGTGGGTTGGCCCGAGTCCAGGCTCAGGTAGGTTGGGCCGAGTTTACACACGTAGAAGTGGGTTTATAGAGAAACAAATAGAGAGGGAAAAAAAAAACAAGAAAATAGAGGTGTAAAAATTCAATAGATCACGCAATAAATTTCAACTGATAAAATTTCACACAGATGAAAATTCAACAGATAATTGTTAATAAAAATTAAAAACAAAATGTCCCCAAAAATAACAAAAATATTTCTCACAAAAATATTTTCCAAATTGTTCTTGTCACCAAATAAATAAATAAATACCCAGCGGACTTTTCACCTATTTTATTTTGTTATTAATCAATTATAAGACTTTGTTTTTTCAGTTGGTTTCTTTATAAATTTATGGTAAAATCTCACGAAAATGGTAAATGGGAAATGTATTCTCATTTTAGTGAAAACCTTTTAAAAAATTTAACATTTGTGGAATGAAAATAATTTCAAAGCAATCAAATTTTACTTTGATCCATATAGCTTCAAATTGAACAGTTTTATTCTTATATTTTAAATTTAATTTTAATTTGTTCATTCCGTTGGATTAAAGTTAACAAATTTGAAACATTTGTTAGTTTCAACCAAAGTTTTGAACTAAAATGAGAATACATTTTAGTTTTAACAAATTTAAAAATATAGGCATGTTATGGGGTGATGTTATTGAGATTGATAGAGCTACTCTTGACATGTCATCTCTTTGCTGTGGAAAAATTCGAATAGCAACCAAAGTTTTGAACTGCATTAACCAGGTGATAACTTTGGACTGCAAAGGCAAACTTTACCAGATCAGAGTTTGTGAAGAACAAATAGTTGTTATGCAAAATCCAAGCAGCTCTGCTAGTCCTTTGAGGAACGACAACTCTGTTAGTATAAACAGAGGCGTTGAACACTGTGTTGATAATGGTGTGCCCCTTAGAGAAGATGATCATGATGTGGCAATTGGTGATGACTTGGAGAGGGTGAAGATGAAGAGTCTGGGAGATGACAGATGTACATCTTCTCAGAAGAAGGAAGCTGATACGGCAGACAAGGATGGCCTTCTGGCTGTCTTGGTAATACATGAGACGGTTAGTGGCTTGGGAACGATCAATACTGGAGGCACATGCATGAGGAAGGAGGCACTGTTATCAGATTGCAACTGTCTCAATGATGATGGCAGAAGTCCAAAAGTCGATGGACATGCGGCTACTTCATGTTTTTAGAAAAGCTTGAGTGGGCCACCTTCCTCTCAGCCCAATGTGAACTTAGAAGTGTTTTTAGGCCCAGATCAGCTGGATAACTTAACCCATTCATGGTCTTAACAAAGTGGGCCTAGTAAGATCAATTGTACTCTACCAATTGGGAAGCTTCTCGGATTAAATTGTGAAGTAGATGAAAAAGACGTAGTAGAGCAGATTATGGAACTTGAAAAACAGGACTTGGTGAGAAAGGAGCAATTGGATATTGCTAAGCAGCCCTGATTTGTTGGATATGGTGGCTTGGGAGTCTTATCTTGTGTGTTGATGAAGTTAATGTCATGGAATGTCAGAGGATTGGGGAAACCTGAGAAAAAAAGGAAATTAAAGGAGCTGATTAATCTCAGAAAAGTGGATTTCATGTTAATTCAAGAAACAAAGAGAGCAGAAATGTCAGAATCATTTGTCACTATGGCCTAGGAATCAGATGGAGTACATGGTAGTGGACGCAACAGGAAATGCAGGAGTCTTCTGTGTGTTTGGAAACCAGAGTTTTTCACTCTGTTAGCTTGTTGCTGTAGTAAGACTTCCATCTTACTTTCAGGTACCACCTCTTCAAACTTCATTTGTAATATTGTTAATGTCTATGCTCCCATTGATATGCTAAACAGGAGGCTGCTATGGAAAACCTTAATTAATATTGAAAGCTCTTTTATCTATCCATGGTGCATTGGGGGAAGACTTCAATGAAGTTAGATTTATTGGGGAAAGGAAGTGTTGTGTTAGGAGGGATGTTGGGATGAAGGATTTTGGGGATTTTATTGAAAGGATTCAAGGGGTGGATTTGCCAATGCTGGGCAGAAAATACACGTGGGGCAATTCTCAGGACAGATTTAGGTGGAGCAGAATTGATAGATTTATTCTTAACCCTGAATGGCTTGAATTATTTACATTCAAACTTTGGGGATTATCCAGAACCTTGTCTGATCACTGCCCTATTATACTGATGGAAGATGACAAAGATTGGGGACCTAGACCCTGTAGGTTCACCAATGCTTGGACCAAGCATCCCAGTTTCTTACAGACAGTCAAGCAAAATTGGGAAAATCCTAGTTTGGAGGGCTGGGCAAGATTTATTTTAAAAAATAAATTGCAATCCTTAAAACTTTGCCTGAAAGTTTGGAACAAGGAAGTATTTGGTAACATCAATGAAAAACTTAAAGAGAAGGAAGCTGAACTTCACTCATGGGATCTAATAGCTGAGGAAAGACCACTCCATGTTGATGAATCTGACCAAAGAAATGACTTATTGGGGGAAGTATGGAAATTGAGAATATTGAAGGAAAGGCTCTGGCTCTAGAAATCTAAGCTCAGTTAGGCACTGAAGGGTCACAAGAACACCAGGTTCTTCCATATTACTGCCACTAGTAGACAAAATAGGAACTCACTTGACTCAATTGAGGTTAATGGGGTTTCAGTGGTGCAACCTGGAGAAGTCAAGCAAGCAATAGTGAATCATTTCAAAAATCTTTATGCTGAGGGTTGGAAAATTAGGCCTAAACTGGGGGGCGGGGGGGCAATTTAAGTCTATTAATACCCTTAGCAATGAATCTACCATGTTGGAAAGTGTATTCACTGAAGATGAAGTTTGGGCTGCCATTAAAGACTGTGATGGGAATAAAGCCCCAGGTCCTGATGGCTTCAACTTATTTTGTCTCCAAAAGTGTTGGAAAATTATGAAGCATGACATTCTGAAGTTTATGTTGGAATTTCATGAGAATGGAATTTTAGCTGGGGGCCTCAATTGCTCTTTTATCAGTCTTATCCCAAAAAAGGAAAACCCCTTGTCTTTATCTGATTTCAAACCCATTAGCCTGATTAGCTCTGTCTATAAGATTCTTTCCAAGGTTCTCTCTCGCAGATTCAATCTTGTTTTACCTAGCATAGTAAGTGAAGCACAGTCTGCCTTCCTAGGAGGCAGGAGTATTTTGGATGGTGTGCTCATTGCTAATGAGATTATAGATTGGTGGAAAAAATCCAATACCCAAGGGATGATCATAAAGCTTGATTTTGAAAAAGCCTTTGATACTGTAAATTGGGAGTCCTTTCTGATTTGTTTATCAAGTTTGGTTTTGTTTCAAAATGCTTGGGCTGGATGAAATCCTGTTTGTCAACTGCTGGCATTTCCATTCTTGTCAATGGCTCACCCATAGATGAATTTCGACCACAAAGAGGGCTTAGACGGGGCGATCCACTTTCACCCTTTCTTTATAACATTGTTGCAAAAGGGGTTAAATCTGCTTCTAACCAAAGCTAAGGACTTGGGCTTAATTAAAGGGGCTGTTGCTGGTCCCACTAGCTTGCACTTCACTCACCTCCAATTTGCTGATGACACCATTCTCTTGTGTAAAGCTGATTTACTAGAGATCACAACCTTGAAGAGAATGCTTCGGTGCTTCAAAATTATGTCAGAGCTAAAAATAAATTTCCACAAGAGTACAGTTTGTGGTATTGGTGTCTCTGAGGCTTTAATCAATATTTTTTTGTCCACATCGAATTGCATTAATCATAAACTAACTTTAAAGTATCTTGGGCCTCCTCTTGCTGCCAATCCCAGAAGGAAAGCCACTTGGAAACCAGTTTTGGACAAATTTAAGAGCAAACTCCCAAGATGGAATAAGAGGTTTCTATCATTTGCCAGTAGACTCATCCTCACCAAATCCACATTATCTAGCCTTCCAATTTTCTACCTCTCCTTGTTTAAAATGCCAAACTGTGTAATCAAAGAGGTGGATAAAGTTCAAGCTTCTTTCCTTTAGAGTGATTCAGATGTCAAAAGAAAGGTTCACATGATTAGTTGGAAGGATGTTTCACTGACAAAGAAGCAAGGAGGTTTAGGTGTAAGAAGTTTGGGTCAAGTCAATATTTGTCTTCTTGCTAAATGGTGGTGGAGGTTCTATAATGAAAAGCAAGCTCTTTGGAGAAGATTAATCTGCAGCAAGAATAGTACCAGAACAGGTAGTTGGTACCATTCTCAAGGCACAATTACTATTTGCTCATCGATTTGGAAGGACATTATGGGCCTTGCTTTAGAAAATCCTGCTTTATTCAATTTCTTTCTGACTAATTCAAAAGTAGTAATTGGTAATGGGGCTAGCATATCTTTCTGGAAGGATATCTGGGTAGGGACTGAATGCCTTCAGTCTAAATTTCTTTGGCTTTTTAGTCTTTCTTCTGATAAAAATGGATCTCGGTTAGAATTCATTGTTAGAAAATCTAGCTCTTCTAACTGGAATCTCAGTTTTAGGAGACCTCTATTAGCCTGGGAAGATGAATCAGTTCATAATATGCAAGTTTTACTGGGAAATGGATCATCATTAAGGCATGGAATGAAGGATAGAATGAGTTGGAAAGCTTCATCTCAGGGTGTCTTCAAAGCAAAGGATTTGTTCTGCTGGTGGCAGTCCAACAGAGGTCCTGATCTGTTTATGCCCAGATTCACTTAGAATAACATCTCACCACCAAAAGTCCAATTCTTCTCTTGGCTAGTTTGGAAAGGACGAGTAAAAACGTCTGTGTTCCTTCATCATATTGGAGTGCTCAGAGGGGAGGATGCTACTCAGTGCATCTTCTGCAAATTTGACTTGGAGACCAATCATGTTTTGCTTCTTTGCCCCTTTAGCTGGAAAATTTAGTCTGCTATCATTAACTGGCGGGGCCTTTCTTGGGTTTGGCTTGGCACAAAATTTAAGAAGAAATAATTACAGATATGGAAAGTCATCCCACTTGCTGTTGTTTGGTCAATTTGGAAGCTCAGGAATGATTGTGTTTTCAATAGCGCCCAACTCAACTTCTTGAAGATCATTGAGCTTATTAAGGTTAGAATCGCAGTTTGGTTGAAAAACCATTCTGATGGTAATTTATATTCCATCCAAGATTTTGTCTCCATTTTAAATCAAATAAGGTTGTGTATTTAATGTTTGGCTGGTAGTATTGTTGTTGCTCTGATTATTCTGTTGCTCTATTTTACTGCTGCCACTGTTCTGGTGCTGTTGTTATGTTCCTGGTGTTGATATTCTGTTGTTGGTTGCGTAAAGACTGGTTAAGGCTTACTGTTGATGTTGCTGTTCTGTTGCTGGTGTTGATGTTTTTGATGTTCTGTTGCTAGTTACATAAATTCAGGTCGAGGCTTCTGGATAGTATCTGTCTGTGTTTTTGTGATCATCTGTGCTGAAGTTCTGTTCTGTTTTGCTAAGATCTAGTATAAGGCATATTGCTGGTGTGGTTCTGGTATGCTGCTGTTGTATGCTGTTGTCCTATGGTTTTGGTTTTGGTCTGCTGTTGTAGAAGTCATGGTTATATGCTGCTGTGGTTATGGTATGCTGCTGTTGTTTGCTGTTGTGCTATGGCAGCATACAACAGCTGTTGTATGACTACATAAGACATGGTTTTTGGTTTTGGTCTACTGATGTAGAAGATATGGTTTTGGGTGCATTTTATGTTGCTCATCTGATAGAGTACATAGGGCAGCAAGGGGAAGTTTTGTGGCGACCTTGGGTGTTAATTACTTAGTGTTGCTAGGAGAGTATCTGTTTGTGTTTTTGTGATCAACTGTGTTGGAGCTCTGTTCTGTTTTTGCTATCTGGTGTAAGGCATATAGTTACTGTCCTATGGTAGCATACAACAGTTGTATTGAAGACATGGTTTTGGTTTGGTATGCTGTTGTATACTGCTGTCTGCTGCTGGTGTAAGGTTGCTTTTTATGTTGCTCATCTGATAGAGTGCATAGGGCAATTCCTGGTGCAGTTTGTGCTACCTTGAGTGTTAATTTCTTACTGTTGCTAGGAGATTGCTGCAGTTTTGGGCTATAAATTGTTGGAGTTTGTTGGGGATGGAGTTGGCAGATTTGGAAGGCTGTGTGGTTGGGTGGTTTTTATTTCTGTTTTTCGTTTTGTTTCTCTGTTTTGGATTGGTTTCTCGCCAATCTGTGAGTTTAGTGCTAGCAAATGATTGTGCTTCCTCCTTGGTGCCAACCTAGTTAGGATTATGGAGTGTTAGCTATAATGCCTTTTGCACTTCCCTCCTTTATTGATGTATATTGTTTCTTGTTTTTTCTCATCTCATCAATAAAGTTTCCTTTTCTTTCCTGATCAAAAAAAAAAAAAAATTTAGAAACAAAATAACAGAATTTTGAACAAAATGACTAAATTAAAACTAAAGTTAAAGTGTAGGAGTTAAATTGTTCAATTTAAAACTTTAAAGACTAGAATGAAATTTAATGAAATTACCAGAATTAGAAGTATAATTAAATCAAATATATATATATATATATATATATGAAAATCCTACTTCTTAGATTTTGCCTTGGACTCAAACAAAGTTAGGACTAGCCCAAATGCAACTTATAACCCCTGAGTAAGAATCGCATAAGGTCATATTTGATTTATGGATTATGATAAGAATTTAAAAAAGGAAATGAAAAGGTGAGTGAAATATAGTTACATTTCACATTCTTTTTTTCATTTTTTTTATTTATTTATAAGTTTCTACCAAAATTCATTAACAAAACACAAGGTAAGGAAGAATTTCCAAGTCTGCCTTGGAAGATTAATTCCATATTCATACATTCTAATATTCATATTTTGTATGAATCGGATTGCTGATTAGTGGTGGTGAGCAATTATTATCGATATGTTTGGAAATTTAGGCGAAAGAAGAACAAAAATGTTGAGGGAGGGGGGAATGGGGGAATTAAATAAATTGAAGAAAAAAGTATAAGAAAGAAAAGTAATATTGATTATTTATTATCTTGTTTTGTTAAATTATAGAAAAAAATTATTTAAAAGAATTTGTTTAATGTTATATTACGAAACTAATATTTTATAAATGTTATTTTATTTTATTTTATTTGTAATGTCTGAAGAGATAGTTTTGATATTATAAAATTAAAAAAGAAAATATTATAAACATATATAAAATTCATACACAAACTTAACAAAAATGATGTGGCAATGTCATTATCGTAAATAAATTCATTTTTAATAATATTTTATTTTGAAGTGAAATGTATATAATTAGTCAAATCATTATGTATACAAATTATGTATGAGTTTTTGTTTTGATTATTTCTAGTTGGATAGCTCTATTGTTGAAGTTATGAGAAGCCAAAAACTTTTTTTTTTTATCAGCAAAAAGAGAACCTTTATTGATGCAAAAACTATACAACAAAAGAGATTACATCAAAAAAGGAGGGAGAGAGCAGCAAACTAGCTCACCCCAGGAGTTTCGTGAGGAACCAAACCCAAGAAGAAAACAAAGAAGAGATCAACAAAAGTAATCCAATGCAACAGTAGAACAGATCATCTACCAAAGCAAAGCACACCGACCCAAAATAACAGCCCACTGCTAGGCCTAGTAACAGCATAGATATAGGGATCCTTCAAAGTGTTTAGATTGTAGCATACACCATTTTGGAGGATTGCACCACAGTCATACTCAATCCATCTTTACAAACACAAACAGACCACCACACAGCTCCTGGCTCAAAACCAGAACAAACCTTGCTAGTGACCTTGGTAAAGTAATCAGATAATAGCAACCAAACAGAGCTTCACTGCAGCCAAATAAGAACCGGTGCATAGCAACCAAATAAGACCCACAGACCTTCCCAGCATCAACCTATGCATAGCAACCAAATAGCAGACCCAGCACCAACAGACCTTCACTACAGCAACACAACAAAATGAACCAAGAACTAAACCAAAGCAGAGCTCCTGGGCTACAAAACCCACATAACAACCCAACCCCAGCAAATCAACAGATCAAATCAGAATTGCAGATCTTCACCCAACAAATCAACACAAACCAGACTGTAGCCCTACATCCACACAAAACCTGCAAACCACGACCTCAATCAGACTTTGATCATATCGAGATTATATACAATGTTCTCCACAAAATACTGCAAACCTCTATAGCTATGCTTACACCACAGAGCTATCCTCACTTTCACCAACTCAGCCAAATCAAACCTATAGACACTCTTTTGATAAAAAAGGCATTCATTCCTAGCTTTCCAAACTGACCACATAACAGCTACGGGAACAACTTTCCACAATGGTTAGATCACCTTTTTGAATTTATAACTAGCCCACCAATACAGCAGTGCCTCAATTGAACCTGGAACCACCCAAACCAGATCCTACCATTTCACCATGTCTGACCATAATTTTCATATCACAGGACACGACAAAAGCAAATGATTCATTGACTCCTCCTCTGTTTTACACAACAAGCACAATGTGTTAGCTTCCGAATTCAACACACCAATCCTTTTCAAAAACACAGACGTTTTAAGTCTTCCTTTCCAAGCTAACCAGCTGCAGAATTTCACCTTGGGTGGGGCAGAGTTCTTCCAGAGCATATCAGCAGCACTTACGACTGGACCTTTTGACAGCATCCACCACTTCCATGACACACCCACAGAGTAAGAACCTGAAGGGTTTGCCATCCATAAACAAGAATCCTCTACTTGATCTGTAAGAACATGCGTGCCCCTTAGTACCCCTTGCAGCCTAGCGACCTCCTCCTCCTCCTCCTCCCCCTCCCAAGCTAACAAAGATCTTCTAAACAGAAATTTCCACTCATGTGCTAACCCTCTTCTATGATTCATCTGCATAATTGTACAACCCTTCTCCTCAGACAGCCTGTACAGTCTGGGAAATTCCTCCTTCAAACACAGATTATTTAACCACTTATCCTCCCAAAAAAGAAGTCTTTTACCATTTCCTACAAGAAGCTTGAAATTAGATAAATAGTACTCAATCAACTGTGGACTAGATGCACCAAGATGGACAACATCTGACCAAATTATTGACACTGAACAGGATTCTGGAATGGATGGTACCCAGCCACCAGCACCCAGACCATATTTGCACCTCAACATTTGTTTCCATATAGCTCTGTCCTCCACTCCAAACCTCCACCACCATTTTATCAAAAGGCAAGCATTGATTTCTCTCAGATTTCTAAGCCCCAGACCCCGTTGTGACTTGTCCACTGTTAAATTCACCCATGTCACCAGATGGACTTTCCTCTTAAGTTCAGATTTGCCCCATAAAAATGCTGCCTGAATCTTCTCAATCTGCTTAGCCACTTCCACAGGGATTTTGAAGATTGATAGAAAATAGATGGGCATACAAGAGAGGATTGACCTAATCAAAGTTAAACGACCAGCATAAGACAAGACTTTCCTCTTCCAAGCAGTTAACTTCTTTTTCACTTTCTCAATAACAGGTTGCCAAGTGCTTTTTCTACTGGGGTTAGCCCCGAGAGGTAAACCCAAATAACTAATAGGGAGCTTTTGACTACAGGAGTTGAAAATGGAGGTAAACTGATTAACCTCAACATCATTTAAACCCACCCCACACAACATACTTTTGTGGAAATTGATCTTTAAGCCGGAAAGCACCTCAAAGCAACGCAAAATTCTCTTAATGTGCACCAATTCTCCTCTTTCTGCCTCACAGAATATGATTGAATCATCAGCAAATTGCAGATGAGAAATTTCAATTCACTAGGCCCAACAGAAGCTCCTTTAACCAGCCCTATCTCCTTTGTTTTTTCAATCAATATGTTCAAACCTTCAACAACAATATTAAACAAAAGAGGAGATAATGGATCTCCCTGCCTAAGTCCTCTCTGAGGAGTAAATTCTGTTGTTGGAGATCCATTGACCAGGACAGATACTCTGGATGATGAAAGGCATGATTTAATCCAACCCAACCATTTTTCCCCAAAACCAAAATTCTTCATCATAGAAAATAGAAACTCCCAATTAACTGAATCGTGTGCCTTTTCGAAATCTAACTTTAGAATGATTCCTCTCATTTTTGTAGCTTTCCACCAATGAACTACTTCATTTGTGATCAAAACACCATCAAGAATAAATCTGCCACCCAGAAAGGCTGTTTGAACTTCACTAATGATTCCTGGCAACACTATTTTCAGCCTTTTTGATAACACTTTAGCAAGAATTTTATATACTGAGTTAACAAGACTAATGGGCCTATAATCACTTAACTCACAAGGATTCTCCCGTTTGGGTATGAGGGTGATAAAAGAGCTGTTAAGGCCTGAGACAATCTTTCCATTAGAGTGAAACTCATCCATGAAGTGTAAAACTTCACCCTTCATTATCTACCGGCATTTCTAAATACAAGCCAAAATGAAACCATCCGGACCCGGGGCCTTGTTATTATCACAATCTTTAACCGCAGCTCAAATTTCCTGCTCTGAAAATTCTATTTCTAAGGTATCTACCTGCCCAGCAGAAGAGATAGATGCAAAAAGGCCAAGAAGCTTAGGCCTAGAGCTCCAGGACTCAGAGAATAATTTCACGAAATGCCTATGAACAGCTAGCTTCACTGAGTTAGGTTCCACCACCCTAACCCCATCTTCCACAACTGAATCAAGGAGGTTTCTTCTTTGCCTAGAGCTAGCCATCATATGGAAAAACCTTGTATTCTTGTCCCCACACTTAGCCCACAGCATTCTACATTTTTGATGCCATAAACTCTCCTTCATTCTATGCAAATTCCAAACTAGCCCTCTAACTTCTCTCCTTGAATTTGCTTTTGTTTCTGACAATGCTCTTTCTTCAGCCACCAAATCCAAAGCGTGTAAATCCTCATTTGGTTGCTTAAGTTCTGTTTTCACATGACCAAACACCTCTGAATTCTATTTTCTAAGGATGACTTTGAGTGAGGCAAACTTTCTCATCAATCTAAACCCCACCCAACTCGGTTGAACTTGTACCTCCCATGAGCTCTTCACTACTGATTTGAAATTAGGATGAAATAACCAAGCATTAATAAATTTGAAAGGTTTTGGGCCCCAATTCCTCTCATCCTCCATTATTATGACAGAACAGTGATATAAATTGTTCTAGGCAGTCCCCACTTCTTGAAGGAGAATTGCTCAAGCCACCTACTCTCCAGAAGGAACCTATCTATCCGACTCCATCTCTTCCCATCTTGTGCATTACACCATGTGAATCTTCTACCTTTCATTGGCAAATCAACAAGATTCAACTGATCAATCAGCTCATTAAAATCATTCATACCTCTATCCCTTCTAGAGCACCCCTTCCTTTCGCTGAGAAATCTAATTTCATTAAAATCTCCACCCATACACCAAGAATTATGGTAGGAGATTTTCAGATTCTTTAAAGATTCCCACATTTTCCTTCTTTTGCCAACATCATTGGGAGCATAGACATTCACCACAGAGCATTCAAAAGACTGACCACTGGTACCTGATAAAATGATAAAATTTCTTGAGCCACAACAATCAACAATCTTGAATCTATCAGGGTGCCAGATGCACAGTAATCCTCTAGCACTGCCAACAGCATCTACTTCCATATAGTCCATTTTATCAAATGGCCAAATAGATTTAACGAGGGTTTCCTCCAGATTTCTTCTCTTGGTTTCTTGAATTAACACCACATCCACTCCTCTTTCTTTTAAGATGTTCCTGATTTTACTCATTTTCTCTGGCCTACTTAGACCACGCACATTCCAAGACTTTATCTTCATAAGTCAAACAACAAGACACCTAAACTCCTCTGTTGGGTAATCAAACTTCATCTGCTCGAACCCCATCGGTAATCCTCTCCAAATCTCGGGTTTCCAACTGAACAATCTGATTTAACACATTATCCTCATTTCCGCCAAAATCAATGCCTAGTTTTTTCCCAAGTTGTATTGTTGCTTTAGCCTCCTTCATCAGCTTGCCCTTTCTTCTACTTGATTCACTGAATGCTGAGTGTGAGCTAAAATTGCAGCAGCAGTTGCTCTAAAAATGGCACCCCTATTGAAGCTTTTAGGTAGAATTCTACCTTTCTGAAGAGCCTTACCACTCTTTTTTGCTATTCCACTCCTCCTTATAGCGAACATGCCTTTACTGATAGGAGAAACTTCCCCCCTAACTTGACTTGAACTACCCTCACCAATCTGCAAATATACTTGGGCTCTCTCGGCAAGGAGCTGTGAACGGGCCACACAGTCACTCAAATTTGAAAAAGAAAGCCCAACTGGCCTAATAGGGCAAGCTTCACCTTGGGTTCTAGGGATCACTACTTCGAAATTAAAATTGGGCCTAACAAGTTCAGGCCCACTTAAGCTCTTCAAAAACCCATCCGTGTGATTGCTACCATTTAAAAATTGGGGCTGCACAACCACCTCTTTTGAAACTTCGACTACACTCTTCAGAACATCATCATGACTATAACCCCCATTGTTTGAGTTTTCCAAGCTAGTTCCTGACATCCTTACCATGGGTTGAACCACCCTCCTGACCCTTTCTTCCAAAACATGTATAGTCCCCTCAACTGTGTCTTGCACTGCACTTACCACATCATTAGAAGCTGCCACAACAGACCTACTAACATCTTCCATGCCTACCACCACCCTCCCATCTTTCACGCTGGAATTCATGGCACTCTGATTGCCGGAACTTGAGAGTAAACCCTCAGAGATCTGATGCCTGCACTCTCCAGGTCTTAGACTTGCTGGTAAAAGTATCTCTTCAATCACCCTTATTGGGTGCTGCTGCCCGTTGCAATCTAATAGGATCACTTGATTAATAAACTCATAACTATTAGTAATAATCCTCACTTTGCCGCACGCTAAAAACTTCGGAGCACTCGTGGCTTCATCCTGTTGAACAACTTCTCCCCAGATGTTACCCACCGCCTTGAAGGTGCCGGCATTCCAGAGATCAAAAGGAATACCATAACATACCACCCACACACACCTTTCTTGTTTAATGACTTTACCCTTCTCCCATTCATCCATTGAATCACACCACTCATATATCCATTCCTCTATTCTACCCTTCCAATCCTTCAGATATTCCACTGACTTAAAGGATAGAAGAGTTATACGGCCACCACCATCCTTTATGTTTATCTCCTTTAAACCTCGTTTGCTGCATTCTTCTTTGAAAGCATTAAAAGAAAAGAAGGATTTAAGCTTAATTACTAAACTATAAAGCCATCCATTTCCAATTTCCTGTGCATTTATGGTTATCGCGGTATTCTCCTTTCGTAAACCTTAGACTACATCAGCAAAAGATCTCTGACCATTGTACCCCGTTGTAATTTTACCATGCTTCCATTGCTCCATCTGTACACTCTTACCTTTTCTGGCCTCTTCCTTCTTTGGATACTGAGCATTGCTTCCAAACTCTGCCAATCTCACTTTCAAACTCTTATCATCGCACCATATTCCATCCGCTTTTTGGACTGCTACCCTTGCTGCTGTAGAGTAGTCATACCGAACAAACCCAAATCTTGAACCAGTAGCTTTCCTCCTTTTATTTGGAATGAAGACGTCTTTTACCACACCATAGCTATTAAACAGAGTAAAAAGACTTCTTGGCACCATAGATCCCGACAGGTTGTCGACAAAAACCGTGATGAAACCTACACCCCTGTAGTGGATCTGTTGATATCTTGGCCTTCTTTTCCGGGTCACCGGTGTCCACCCTCCTCTTTCCATCACAAGTCCTCTTGTTGAGAAGCCAAAAAACTTAGTTCTATTGCTACTAAAAAAAAAGAAGTAAATCTCTGATGTTCGAATCTAGTAATCACTAACCACAAGTTTGGGCAAGTCTCATATTAATTATATCAATATTTCTATTGATGATTCTATCCCTTGGAATAAAGGTTTCAACTATGTTATTGGTTTCTATGGCCCAGCTCTTGCCTTCATCCAAAAACATATGCCACCAAAAAAAAAAAAATTTTAAAAAAGGCATAAAAAAAATTAAAAATATAAAAATAAAAGAAGAAGAAGAAAGAAAGAAAGAAAGAAAGAAACACAAATCAACAATGGTTTAATTCACAGGTACATGGAATGATGGAGCAATGATAAATAATAAGTCATTACATTACATTAAGGACTATTATTTGGTTACAATGACGACACGAATATAAACAAACTCACAAGACACAACAAGAACACACAAACTCATTAGTCATAACAAAAACACACACAACACAATACAAAAAAGAAAAGAAATAAAAAAAGAAATAAATAAACATTATAAATCGAAACTCAATGGAAGGAAAATTTGCAAACCCCAAAGATTGGCCACACTTAACTACTCGTGTGGAAAAGACGAGGACAACTATAAACTGCGCAAAATGACTGTAGAAACATTAGCAAGATGAACAAGATAGCTGCTAGAATTGTAAGAAATTTCCAAGAACCATACATATACCTTTTCATGCTCTTGTATACATGAACCCCCCATGTACTATAGAAGTACTTATTGTCATCTTCAATCGTCTTATCAATATAAGACACGTTTGCGAGTCGAATGGATTTACTCACCCCATTAAAGAGTTTCGCGACATCAGCATCACTTTCTAGGCTGTTTACGATGATTTTCTTTTCCCTCAACAACTTTGCATCATTGACAGTATCTATGATCTACTCATTAGTTCTATGTATCGAGTGAAAACAAGGGACTCTGATACAGTTGACGCTTCATATGCCACCAAGTTTCTCATGATCACTTCAGAGTTCATATTCAAAGTAATGACAGGAAGGTAACATATCTTAGACTTCTCGTCAAACTTGATGGTAGTGATGTTGCCAATACTAGGACAAAATTCAACTCCAAAGTCACATAGGTGTGACACCGAATGAATCATGATCTCCTCTTCTATTGGAATTTTTTTCTTTTCCTCATCACTTGGAACTTCACTTTCAGGTTTGATGTCTTCTTTATTCTTTGATGCTAAGTTGGACATCCCAGGTAGACTAGCAACAATGTTCCAAGGCAAAGCCAATATCATCTTAATTGGTCTTGTAAATTTACTCACCAAACTGACATTTAGACTTGAGAACAAGCTCCAAAGATTAGCAAACACTTGACTAGAATTACTACCAAAGCTTGCACCTCCCTTTTCTTGATATATGTCGGTTATTATTGCTTCGTGGGATCCCTCTATCTTGGGCACAATCAAGTGGTACAAAAGGTCCAACAAATGTGCATGCTCAAAAACCTGAGAGAAAGGAACATCTTCTTTAAGTTTCAATGGAGAAACAATTTTACAAAAACCCATCAATATTGAAGGTAACAAATTGTTACGAATGTCCAACAATGAACATTGGATGCACAAGATCTTATTTAGAAGAAAGATTGGAATTTGGTTTTCAAGCATCATTATGTCGCCAAGGATTGTATCATGAGCCAATTTTTTCTCTGCTGCATCCACTAAGTGAGCCGTTGTAGATGACAATGACGAAAGACTACCATTCTTGTTGACATAGCTATGAAGAAAATCGAGCAAGAACAAACCATCAATGGCCATAATCCAAGCTAGGGTTTCGCCATCGATGTCCACGGAGTTCTCGGGTTAGTTGGAAGATCCGGGCGGCGCAGGTGGCGGGATGTGTCTCTTTGTTTTCCATCAAACTGCCGAGATCGGGGATGAAGAGTGGAGTGGAGGTCACCAAGATGGAATTTGATGCTGCAAGGGAATTGGAGTATTTGCATGAGAAGGTATGTGTAGAAAATTCGAACGGACTAGGTTGAGGTCCGGCGGGCGGCCAAGGCGAGGTTGCCGCCCGCCCGCCGGAAGGCGAAGAACACCAAGATCTTTAACCTATAGCTCTGATACCATGTTAAGATAAATTGATAGAGAGAGATACAGAGAGAATGTATTATGTATTGAAATGTTTATGTATTGAATGTTATATGAATAAAGAGAGAAAATTACAAACATCATTATGCCAAAAGTGGATCCACTAACCGAAAGTAAAGGCACTAATCTAAAGCCTAAAGCACTAACATAAAATATATTAACACACTAAGTGAGCTGTTGTAGATGACAATGACGAAAGACTATCATTCTTGTTGACATAGCTATGAAGAAAATCGAGCAAGAACAAACCATCAATGGCCATAATCCAAGCTAGGGTTTCGCCATCGATGTCCAAGTACTTGTGGTGACACGTACGAACTTCGTATTCAAGTTCGTTAAGCTTGTCAACAAGTTGTTTGAATTTAAGCCTTCGAAATTGCTTTTGAACCCTAGTTGATACAGCAAGCTTGTATCGCTCCATCTCATAGAGCTCGGAGCGAAAATGGTGATAAGGCCCCAAGCCTATGAGTTGAGGGATGTATACTTCTGGCTTGGAAACAGTTAGAGTTGTAGGCACAGGAAAGATCGAAACAGGAACATCGATCTCAATATTGACTTCTTTCGCAATGATTTTGCTGATTTGGGAAATCCATCGTTGCTCAGTAAAACTTGATTCAAAAATAGAAGTTAAGGCCATGTTGGTCAGATTATTTTGGAGCATAACACATTCTGCAGCCCCTTTTTTGTTAATAGATTCTACGTATAACCTGGTGCAAATTAGGATTTGTTTGGATAGGATGTTGTCATGTTGTATTGTCATTGAGGTTTTGAGGGGTTGGAGTTGGAAACTCTCTAACTCTCTTGTGGGATTTTGGAAATGCACATGATTAG